ATCTTGTCAGTAAAGCCGGTTCTGTGATTAGTAGTAAATCTCCAGCACGTGCTTACAGATGCAGCAGCGTTTACTACACAGAGCCGTAGTTCACTGACAAGCTACGCAAAATCGCGTTCATAATCGCAGACGATTTAATTGCGCGATTATGAAATCAAAGAAATCGTTCTGCGATTAGGAAAGCTGTTTGCATAGCTTGTCCGTGAACTATGGCTCTGTGTAGTAAATGCTGCTCCATCTGAAAGCATGAGAAAATACCACATTTAATAACATGTTTTTACTCCAAACTCACTTCATATCGTCAGTCGAGTGTTTGAAATAAATCCTTCTGTGAGATGATGTGGCTTCTTCCACAGAATAAGGCACGCAACATATTTCATAGTATTCTAAGCAGTGTCGATTAGCATTGCATTATTATATACTTTATTATAATAAAAATTATAATAAGACGAACTCAGATAAACCATATATTGTCGTAGTCGTGTGTTTATTAGTCACATTGAATTAATGAAAGCAGTTAAATCTTCTGTTTATCCAGCTACCGCTATAGGCATTTCCTGGGTTTCTTCTGTGGGGTGTATTTGGAGTTTCCACGCGAGAGCGCCCTCTGGCCTTCAGATGGAGATTTACTGCTGATCACAGAACCGTGCTTCACTGAAAGATACACATGACAATCGCAGCTTCTGCCTAATCGCGATTTATCGCCTTTGCGATTTAATTTCGATTTATCGTGCAGCCCTGCTCTCTGTATATAACAAGTGTCATCTGTAGCTCCAAACGGTCACTGTTCAGTACACAGACCATCCATGCATGCACTAAAATTGGGCTGCATGGAGACGGTCTGCGTGGATGTCCGCAGACACCTCTAATGAAAAAAATTGCATCACACAGACAGTGCACAGACCGTCACGGTCAGCCAAAGAATGCTTTGGGCTTAAAGGGCCTTTTAAAAATTTTAAAGTTTTGATTTATGCCGCTTTAAATTATTGCACTCTTTAAATTCAGGTGGATTCTGATTAGCCATCCATGTTTTTATATGCCATGTACTGCTATGTACTGTTAAGTTTTGTAGTTGAATTAAATGTAGTTAAAAAAAGGCACAAGATATGTTGTCGTTAGCTTTAGCATGTTTAATTCCTTTCTCTATATAAGGAAAGCTATGACTGTTGAAAAAAAGTGTCTTTCCACACTTTACCGCCACTTAATTTGAGAAATTACACAATCTGGGTGCTTGAAGTGTTCTAGGGCTCACTATGCTTTTTCCGCACTACTTATACTACAAAATGGAGTAGAATGGTTCAGAAGTATGTAAAATAGGATGTACCAGTTGTCTGCCTATCAGCAAATCATTTAGGGAGAATGTCACATGATGTGATTAAGATTCAAGAGCAAAGCTTTTAAGCAAAGAGCAACACCTTTTACTTTTGTAACACTACATATTTTATCGTATCTGAATGTTTCAGTGGAAAATATATAGAGCAGGAATTTATTTGATTAGATTGTGACATTACTGGTTGTTTTGCCAGCCATGCAGCTTTGGTTAGAAAAATTGTATAGAAGGTTTGTTAGGGAAGATTACCGTTTTTTTTTGTGTTTTTTTTTTTTAGAATAAGGTGTTGTGATAAATTGAGTCCAATAATCCTAGGGTTATTTATTAAGTAAATATGGTAATTTGACCTCATGTTGGTTTTGAATTCCCTACATATTCTCGAGAGAAACATGACAGAGATATTGTGTCTTTTACAGATTTCTTAAAGCCAACATGTTTGACCTTTCACTACGTCTAAACAAGACATGAATCCATAACTAGAAAAGGCACAGACAGAGAAGTACTAAAGTGCATTTCAAACACTTTTCATGATTTGTCTCTCAGGGGCAGACCTGCAGAACCTTCGGCTAGCTGCGTGCATGAAGCCTCAGTTGAGACCTTCAGAACACTAAGCAAGTAAAATCCATCTTTATCTGAAGTAAGGTCTCACAAAACACACAAGATATATTCAAAACGTGTGACAAAAGTCCAGACGCTGCGATTTCAGAATCAGACAGTGACGATTTTAAAAACATTAATTTTCATTCTGTGTTCTGTAAACAAATCAAAACCATGTTTTGGCACACCACACACAGAGACCCCCGCTCTTCTGCCTGCTTTTGCAAGTATACACACCAGCAATTCCACAATTCTCTAAGCAGCCCTGCCGATTGAGATAGCGGGATTGATTAGCTTGTCAGCTTTTCTGACAGAATCGAGCCCCTGTCTTGACTACGGCAAATTACTCTGCCTTGATTAGGCCCACCTGCAGCTCTTTTTTTGGAATCAACATAGGCCAGCATCGCGCCTATGTCGCATCACTCCACCGGTTTTCACATCTGACCTCAACTGAATGGTAATTCATTGCAGCAATCATCCAGTGCTGGCGCAGTGTTGTTCCAGCGCTGGCTCAGTATTGGCTCTGGTAATTAAATCGGGCTTGCGTGCGTCCTCTGGGAAGAAGGGACGGGGAAACAGCGACCAGGTGGTGGCAGAATGCAGGACCTGTCAGACTAGCTGATGACCGTTTTAATTCTGCTCTGCCTGGGGCTATAATTGATATTTAACAGAAAGGTTAATTGTAGCAGTGATCTGTTTAAATTAGAGTAGAGATCTGGAGACCAGGGCCAAGACCTGCAAGCCACTGGAGACATGCATGTGAGTTGCTCAAGTAATACACACATACGCTCATACTTATGCACATACACTGGGACTAGATCACACACACACTTGCATTTTTAAGAACGGACTGTTCACATAGTTCTGATTGACCAACACAGTGTTCCAGCTGTGCTGCTATATGTGTGTGTAAAAATATGTACACAAAATATTAATATTTATAAATTATTTTTACAAAATAAATTATTTTTCTTGTAAAAAAGTGGCTATAATTACTAATCTTATTCACAGACAATGATTTTCAAAAAGTTATTTAACAGAGGCATAAGTATCAGTAGTGATACTTCATTCAGAGTACTTATACTATAGATGCCATTAAAGTAATAATGAAAATATACCAGCTTTGTTGTTTCCTAAAAAATTACGACAACATATTGCGATGGGGATGGGAAAATGTCAAATTTATGTATTTATTTATTTTATCATGCAATGGAAATGTATTCTTGCACATATGAAGTCGATTGCAGATTGCACAAAATACAGATCCATCTGTACTGTATAATTTTGTGTGTATCTTTGTCTGCAGATGGCCATTCAAGCATAGGACATGGTCAGTGAATGTCATTTCCAGGTGAACTGTGGCCGTTCACGAAGGGGGGGCTCGACCCCCCCACCCCCCCCCCCCCCCCCCCCCCATTTTGATAAAGACATTGTAGGTAAGGCATAGTATTTATGCCTTTGTAGTAATTACACAATTACTCTCATACACATATATAGTCAAATAAGGACACACTCACATGTACAAGGTACAATAATGAAAATTATGTCGCCAAGCCTTTAGACAAAATACAGATCCATCTGTACTGTATAATTTTGTGTGTATCTTTGTCTGCAGATGGCCATTCAAGCATAGGACATGGTCAGTGAATGTCATTTCCAGGTGAACTGTGGCCGTTTTGCATACATTCAAATCAGTGAATCTTCAAATATAGGTCGAACAGGGAGTTTTTAGAGCTGCCCTATAGCTATTCCACCAATCAGATCACAGGAGTCAATAAAGCTGCCTTCATCACTACTTACATTTCACTGTTCCAGCAAAAAACACCTCCTTCACCTGCCCTCCACACACACTTTGGGTTTCCCTTTGGGTTTTCACGGGCTAATGCTCTGTGTGCACCAGATAAAAGCAGTAAAGACAATGCTCTGGTTCCAAAACAATGCTCTGGTTCCAGGCACAACTAGGTACCTCTTGGGAAGTTTCCAAAGCAAACAGATGAAAGAATCACCTTTCAGAGTTGTTTAGTTGTCCGTTGATTAGAATATTGAGTCTCTTTGAAGTCTTTCTGTCTCATAGTATCCATCCCAACATTGTTTCGATGAGATTTTGAAGTCTTTCTGTCTCATAGTATCCATCCCAACATTGTTTCGATGAGATAATATGGCTCTGCTTGAAGATGCAAGAGTGCATCATTGCACAGTGGTGCTCCAAACATGTGTGAAGAGCCAGGTTTTCTAGATAAGCTGTTATTATAGAGTTACAACAGCCATATAAAGCTCTTGTTCTACTTCTAAAGTCTTATTTTTCTTAATCCTATCTAGTCCTTGAGTCTTCTGAACCTGGCTGGGAGGAAAATGGAGGAGACTGTGGTGAACGCGGCACCCAGGAGCAGCTCCAAAGATCGGCTCAGTGAGGTAAGCACAATGAAGTATGTCATTATGACGCCAGTATTCATGACAGCCAATAGGAGAGATCCACAGGAGAGGCCTTTAACAGCCAAATTTGTTAAAAGACAGGCAGAAGTCTCATTCGGTTATCAATGCATTTAAGTGTTCTTACATGTCTAAAGAAAAGATTTTCAAGCGAAATGCCATTTGGTTGCACAAGAGGTTGCACATTTGTTCTAATGCATAATATTATGCTCTTGCTTACAGCCATTTATCACTGACAGCAAACGTATAATTTTTGAGTAGACTTAGTCTTTTTTACATAGGCTTAGACTCTTATTTGGTATTTTATTTTACATACTTTTTAAATGATTTTATACAGCAGTTCTTAAACAAAGGATCACCAACCAATATCTTTGAAGAACGAGGATTCCCACAGTCTTGAAAAACTATTGTAAATAGCCTAATTTACAATAACATGAAATATAAATATAATATAAAAATATATAATGTTTATAAAAATGCTTAAAACATAAAAAAATATATATTTATAAATATATAAAATAAAAATATATAAAATATTTATTTAAATTTAATTAACATTTTTCTAGTAATGCCAAAAAAACTAAATGAAATGATCAGGTAGTAATTGAATTTTTTTAAATAATTTTTTTTATTCGTACCCAGAAAACAACTGGAAAAGGCATAGGGATAGCCTTCGAATAATGGTGTGGACGGTGGGGGTCCTTGGAGTCAGAAAGTTTAAGAACCACTGATCTAATAGGTTTCATAAGCAGTTAGTTTGCTTTAACTCATGGTCAACTCAGAGCGTTTTTCTCACCAGTGTCTTTGTAGAAAAGATTCCCTGTGTCTGGCCGTTTCTCAGTAATGCAGCTGAATATTGAAGAGAAAGAAATACTGGTAGGGTGTTGGTTAGGGCTTGAATGAAGAAATAATGTGATTGAGAGAGGGGTAATGAGAATTTGTGTCTAATTCTCCCGAGACTAGCTGAATACGCATCCCTAACTAACGCCTGTCAAATGCACGTCCGAAATCCCCAGCAAATTCATTCAGATGGATCCGTAATACGAAGACGGAGAGCCTGCGCGCCTCAGCGAGCCGAGGATGAAGGGAGGAGAAGATGATGAAAAGAATAAAATGTTTTTAATGAAGAGATTAAATGTGATGCTTAGGCTGTTAAGGATTCGGAGGGAAATTTCAGTCTTCGCTTTCCCCCTCCCACCCTTCACCGCCATCATTTATGAATTTGTGCAAAAGGCTGTTTTTCATGAAAAAGTCAGAGAGGGAGAGCGATTGAAGAGAGAGAAACGAGCTCGAGGCAGATAAAAGCGTGATCCAGGCTGACAGTTTTGACAGCAAAAAGCGACAGAACAACGGGCAGACAGAGAGAGGGAGGGAGGGCTGAAAGACTGCTGAAAATTGCAGACTGTAATGGCTGACAGTGCCAGATATGACATTTCCCTCTAATCTCCTGCCAAAGAAATGGTGCTAAAATGCAGAGCGCCATATCCATGTCATCTGTAGGCCTCTGTCCATCTCGGAGTGAGAGAAAGACACAGACAGCGAGAGATCTGCGGAGCCCGTTCGTTCCCGTCCCGTCGCACGAGGCCCGGACGCTGCGCTAACGCTAGCTTTGTAAACGGGATCATCTTTCATCAATGTCACATCGTTAAATGGTGTAAAAAATCTTTCCTTGTGATTCGCCATACATGCTAATTTCCTTTGCATACCAAATACGCTTTTCATACCCACTTCAAAGACGCTTAGGCGTGTGCGCCGCTAGCTAACGATCTGTGCGCTTCAGAGGCGGATAGAGCTGGATTTCGTCTTTGTCGCTGGAGTGTCAGAAGGAAATGGAAACAAACGAGGGGGATGTCAGGATCTCAAAGAACTGGGGGCAGGAGTGCAATGATTTAAAAAACAGCTAATGTGGGGGCTTGCCATTTGAGCGGTGCCTGCATTTGCTAAGATCTTCTTGTTTTAACGTAACCCGTCCACTTGTTTAGCATGGCTTTGGCTCTTGTGAAGATATTATAGAAAGAGTGTGTTAATGAATCAATGCATATAGTCAGACAAGACTTTCTTTAATTTGACATGAATGAAAAAGAGACTGAAGTAGAGTCTGTTCAATTTGTCATACTCTCTTACATTCTCATCACAGCTGAATATGGCTCAAATCTGGCGCCCCCCCCCCCCCCCCCCTCAAATGTGTCACAGATCTGGTTTTTGGATGAGTCTGTACACCATTTCTGACATTTCATCTGACATTTTCAATTTCGATCTGGACCACTTTCAAATGTGGAAATAAATCAGATTTGTATGTGATGTTTTTGCAGTGACCTTGATGCAAACATTCCTGACTTTAACACTAATCAAGCTCAACATTCATGAATTGCATGCTTGATTTGCACTGCATAATGTTAACGTGTTCACAAGGGAAATGCAAAATTACATTGCAAATGATTTAAACATTTTTGCTCACTTTTGCTCATATGTGGAAAGACACATATTTAATGTTCCGTCACCTGAATGATTGATGTGAAGTTACACAACAACATACAACAGCTGCATTATTCTGAATAAAGTTTAACATTTTCTGATGAAATTGTAAGTGGTGCTTGACTGCTTGAAAACTCATAGACGCAGGGTATTGTGGGCTGTTGCTAAGGTGTTGCTATGTGGTTGCTAACATGTTCGAAGTCATATTGTTGGTGTTCTGGATGGTTGCTAGGATATTGCTAAGTGATTGCTATTGCTAAGGTGTGTTCTAGTACCTCGTGGCTTGATTCCCACTTTCAGTATACACTACAGTTTTTCAAGAACTTTTTAAGATTTTAATACTTGCAAGGGTGTGTTCAATTGATCAGAAATGACATTTGTAATACAATTATTTCAAATAAATGCTCTTGTAAACTTTGTTCATTAAAAAGTCCTTAAAATTCATGGTTTCTATCAAAATATTAAGCAGAACAACTGTTTTCAACATTGATAATAATTAATGTTTCTTAAGCACCAACTCGGCATATTAGAATGATTTCTGAAGTAATGACTGCTGAAAATTCAGCTTTGCCATCACAGGAATAAAGTACATTTTAAAACGTATTAAAATAGAAAAAAGTTATTTTAAATTGCAATAATATTTTACAATATTACTGTATTTTTGAGTAAATAAAAGCAGTCTCGGTGAGCATAAGAGACTTTTATAAAAAACAAAATATATAAAAATATTACCCTATCTTTTGAATGGTAGTTGACATTTACACAAATTTTTTAACCAATTTTATTATTCGAGAGGTGAAAATCATAAGTTTTCTTTCACAAATCATTTTAGAATTGTATTTGCCCATTATAATTTCATTGTCATTTGCATCAAAATAAATATGCTTTGTCTGATCTGACTATAGAAGCTTTTGTGTTTCCGAACAGTGAGGACATTTTCGAGTTTGGAATGGATCTGGCATGAAAGTAATGACACTGATAGTTTCGAACCCACCCACCATGTCACAGAAGCTGCCCACAGAGGGCCGGCAACACCTACTGCATCTCAGCCGTCTGTTCGCTTGCTGACTTCACGCTCCGTTGCGTCCCGATTGGCTTCTTTTCATCTGCTGCCCTATCTTAACCAATAGTCTGGTCCATAGCTAAACAATCCGCCCCCTCCCACTTGTCACCAAATCTGTCAGGGCCCAAGAAATGTAGAGTGATGCAAAAGGGAGGGTGTAGGGGGTCGAGTTAGTGTGAAAATGGGTTTGTAATGAACATTCAGTATTCATTATGGTGATATTGGGATTCTTTAAGTTAAGTGTGTTGTGATCTGTGTGAGATATAACGTCAATAACATGCATTTAGAAAATAGATAATGTGAATTTTCATGTTGTATTGAATTTAATATGTATATCCAAAAACTGTAATTAGATTTTTTATTTTTTTATTTTATCTGAATACTATAGTTTTGAATGAGTAGAACCTTACTATTCTCTGTATTAATCTTACTGTGAGTTTTGATGCCAGTTAATCAACTGAATGGTGAAAAGTCATAATATGTGCAGATACTTGTCCACAAAGAAGCAGCAAAAATTTGATCAGTATATTTTGGGTTTTACTCTGGCCATGATGAACTGCCCATTTTGACAGGAAAGCCACCTGACCAACATGTAAAGTGCAGGCAAATCTGAAGTAGATGATACCACAATAGTAGGCCAGTGTGTAAAAAAAAACGTGGTAACTCATTCAAATGATGGCGCAGCAGTCTCAAAGAAAGATTCCTAAAACATGAAATAAATGTATGCTGTCAGAAATTCCACACAATTTACTGAACACAACCGAAAACTTTGTGCTTGAGAATGTCTTGCTAACTAAAAAAAAGACTTGAATGTCTTTCAGAGAATTGATGCCAAAACTGCAGACTTACAGAGCTCAGACTCAGTGACTAGTTTATTTGTAAGGAACAAATGTTTCTCTTCCCAAGCATCTTCCCAAGTTAGAGTAAGGCCTGTGGTTAGCCTAGCTTTCTTGCTTGAATGCGTAATGGTGGTAGAGCAGCATTAGAAAGTCAGTAACTGTCATTAAGTTATTTCTTTGCAGTGTAATCTGTAAACTTTGTGTTAGTGGCACAGATTCTGAACTCTTTAATTACAAATGTTAACTATCTATAGTTTTAGGGACATTTATGCTGTAGACAATTGTGATTTGTTTGGCTAGTTGAATTGTTTCCCTTGACTTGCTGGAGTCTTAAACTACCTTCAGCACTCCATGTGATTTCTAGTTGTTGATGATTCGCTCAGGCAGCCCTGACCTGTTTTAAAGACCCCTATATGAATCTGAATCTGACAAGGAATCTGTCATGGCAAAATAAAATGCTTTCGTTCCCCCTCATTTACCATAAACTGACAAGGGCTGATGCAACAGCATGGAAAATGGATGCAAATGCCGGGTGTCTTGGTTCTGATCTGAAATGTCATTTCCTTTATGATGACAATCTATGACACAGTTCTCAAAAATGATGTAACCTGCTATATAAGAATCATCTTGGCTACTCTGTATTGCTAGGTTAATGCCAGAATGTTTAGTTGAATGCAAAGTACACAACTGAACGACTTCAAATTTTGAAACATGTTAGCATAAAATATTATTAGTGACTAAGGCTATTGTTGCTCATGGGGTTAGATGGTTTAAGTATTAAGCTTCATATTAAACCATTTGTACTATATAAAAGATCTGTGGTGATGAAATATGACTTTTTAAAGAAAAATGTGCCATTACCAGGCGAAAGAAGTGAGACCCAAGCCATCTATAGACCAGATTGAAGCAACTACCCAGAACACCATAGCAACACCCTAGAATCCACATAGCAGCGCCCTAGCAACCACTCAGAAGGCCTTAGTAACTACATACTTTTTTTTCAGAAACTCCAAAAAAAAAAAAAACTTTTTGACTTTCTTTGGTTTATCACAAGAGGAAACCAGGTGTTTTTCTAGATTAACAATATAGGCGTCCCTCTAAAGCTAATTTTATGATAAACCCAAGTCTTGCTGAAGAGAAAAGGCCTTGCCAGACGGCTATTTTTTCCAGGGCTTTATTGTCCTCAAGTCATATGAGTCATGTGTTCTAGCAGATTCTGAAGAGAGCGAGAGAGAGCGAGAGAGAGAGAAAGGAAAAAGGAATGTCATTAGGCGAACGATAGGAACAAAGGGTGGGAAAAAGGTTAATGTGAATATTGATATTAAAGTGCTAGAACTTCATCATGTCTCTGTCATCTCATAGTATCCCTCAAAGGTCAACGTTGTTCTCTCTCTCTTTGTCTCTCTCTCTCTCTTTCTCTCCCCCAGAGCTCCACTCACTCTCTGTCAGGACGAGGGTACTCGGTAAGTGACATTTTCACGCTCTGCGGCTTTACGGCAGAATTACAGTATCCTCTCCTCCTGTTTATGGCCCTGGCAGCAGACATTTTAATTATGTTAAACAGAGAAATGGTGGAATCATGATATTAGGGACATCACTCTTGGGTGACTGACTGATTAAATGGTGAAAAGTGTCCCGTTGCACCTTGGGTAAATGAGCCTCTCTTTATTTTTACGACCATTTTATTTCCAGTGCTCTGGTCATTTAAAGTGTCAGTGACGATGTCTCCTTCTGCAGTCTGCTGTGGTTATTGGTTAGAGCTTGTTTGAAAGTCATTGATAGATTTTGATTTGGTTTTATTTGGTTGGGACTTGAAACAAATCATATGCTTCTGGTTATGCAAGCTCAATTTTGGTTTCATAGTGTTGCCACAAGGGGCACCGTAGTGGGCATTAGCGTTAATACGTTGTCCTGTGTTGGTTTTCAGATTTCAGATTAACTCATTTTAAGACAGAGCAACAGTCTGAGTAAGAAACTGTGTAGGTTAAACTGTCAACATGTTGACAGTTGGCATTTGCAGATAATTTTTTCCTGTGAGGACTGAAGTTTGCTACTGTTTACTGTAATCAAAAGCTTTAAAGGTTTTCAAACTCAGGGTTGCAAAGTGGTGCTAATGTTTCACAGAAAAAAACAAATCTCAAAGATTTTTTTGCAATTCACATTTGTTATTAGTAATATTTTAATAAAATGTTATTGTTAAAATAACATAAAATAATATGTTAAAATGTTATTCTAATAGTAATTACAATAGTAGAATAGCAATAAAAACATTTAATTTGGTAACAAATATAATTAAAAGTATAATAAATATATATAAAATATTAAATTAAATATTTGGCCTTTTTATTGTTATCGTACTAAAGTAAATATGACCATGTTTGTTATAAAGTGAGTCACTGCATATATTCACCCTTAATATATTAATAAATGTGTTTTTATACACAAAAATACAGAGCAACTTTTATATTTTCAGAAGGGAAACCTTTGCAAGGGGATCACACTATGGGGGTCCTTGGCATCAAAAGGTTTGAAAACTCATGGTTTAGAGTGTTTCATTTGAATAGAATTAGATTAGAGTAGATTAACTGTTTCATTCCTCTTTTTTTGTGGCTTCATTAGAACCGTATGATGCATTCATAAGATTTACATTTTTCATAATGATTGTTGTGTAGAAGTTATCAATATGTCAAGAGTTATGCACACACACATTTTATCACACAACTACGGGAATCGCATTTTAACAAACATAGGCTCATAATCTACTTTTTAAAACATGCTTTCCCACCGTTTATTCACAGATAAATACATTGCAGAGAGAAATAACACTCCCCTGAAATGAACTAGTTTTTATCCCATGTTCAATACTCTGTATATGCTCTTCTTATGGATGAAAATAAGCTTTGGATATTGCAGGGATTCATTGTTTTATTGATTTACTGTTCTCATTCAAAAGATAATCACATTTTCTATATATTCCCTGTACTTTTTCATTCGAGAGTGCAGTATACTCTTGACACTGAAGTTGAGAGAAAAAAAATGTGTTGTATACCCTTGTGAAATATTCAAAAGCAGCAGTGCATTTTATATGCTAAATTTCCGCAGGCATGTCAGGCAACATGTCACAGGATAGCTGTTTATGCATGACAGAAAGCTCACTTTTCATCAGATGCTCAAATGTTTGTTTGCATGCAAACACACACACATGCACGCTGACATTACCTGTCACCTAAGAATGTCAGGTAACAACTGCCACTATGAGCTGCTAGGTTATTTATTTCATATGTTTTGTCAGTATGAAGAGACGAGAGTTAAAAGGTTTCAGGACTCATTCTGTCATGCAGGCAGTACTCAACCTCTTTTATTGTTTGGCCATTTGCAAAAGGAAAGAAATCATTTTCTGGCATTGCTAGCTATTTCCATTTCCACACACACACACACACACACACACACACACACACACATTGTGAGAACATTACATAACTGATTTTGTGCTCAATAGCAGCATGTATTTGAAATATAATTTTTTGTGACAATACTGTAACTTTTCATCAATTGAGTGCATCCTTGCTGAATAAAAGTACTAATTCTTTCAAAAAATAAAATAAAATAAATGAATAAATGCAATCTTACTGACCCCAAACTTTTGAACAGTAGTATATATATATATAGAGAGAGAGAGAGAGAATTACTCTAGAATTAATATTACTAGCATTAATAAAATTTTAAGTCATAGCCAACCAACTTACATTACCTGTATTTATATTAGTTAAATATTTTTTCATCAAATTTTGTTTCAAAGATTAAATGAATAGATTTTTCCATGAGTTCTCAACTGCACAAACATCTAAAAACCGCTTCCTGATGCAATATTTACTGCAACAAAATCAGCTTGATTTCATTTAGCATGACAATGTCTCTATGAAGACCTTTACCAGAGTAAACCTGTTAGTTTAGTTATTTTTGACATGATTTATCTCCTCTAGACAGCAAGAGACTCAATCTTAGTCTTGTCATGTTTGTTTTTTGTTTTTTTCCTCAGTGAAAAGTGGAGCATGTTTTCTTATGGCGACATTCTGACATGGCAATGAAAAGAAAGCCTCTCTGTAAAAGGCCTGTAGCGGCTGTAAGCCTTGACTGTCATATCAGTTTAGGCTGAGAAAACATGACCAAAGAGCCACAAACCTTGTCCTCCTCTTTACACGATGTTGTGAGTGAGATAAAAGAGAGAGAGAGAAAGAAACAAACAGAGGGAAGTGCAAAAAGGAAAGAAAAAGGCAAAATATATCAGGGTGTTTCACTTTGACACTAGTTCCATCAAATCTGGTTATGTGTAGTCGGGCCCTTTGGCCCTTCACACTGTGTCTGTGTACTCATGAGATTAACAAAGCACCAAGAGCTCCAGGCACAAGTTTGTGTGTGTGTGTTCTTGTTTATGTGCATGAGTCTGTTTTCTTCCAGAATTCAAGGCACAGTGTTATGGTCAGGGGCCCCTGGGGCCACTCCGACACTTCACGTCATGTTCGTTATCATCTGCTAGGAGTGAAAGTGCTAAAGGCTAACGCACAGAGAGAGAAAGATATGTCAAGAGAATGATGGAGGGAGATGCAGCCTTCCGGCTGGATAAGTGGGCCACCACCTGGAAAGTTGTGAGTTTGGCCCCCAGTGGTAGCGGCTTATTCAAGCCTAGTTATAAATGGACAGTTTTGGCTTTAAATTCAGTTTGAATGAACCACACTGGATCCATTGATAGATGAATACATGTGAGCGCATATTCCAAGGGTCTTTGTTGTAAAGTAGTCATCGCAAAATGTAACTAAATTATCGCCCAGCTCTTTATATGAAGTTTTGTTACGCTTTTTCTTTTTCTCGAGGATACTGAAAAATGAACAGTAAAGCAGCATTTCTTTAAATTGCTGCGTTCAAGTCATGTGTCAGAATGATTGTATTTATGAGTTGAACGCACATGATTTGTAATTACCTTTGGCAAACTTCTGATTTTCATTATGCCGGGCTTAAGTTCAGTTACAGACTTATAATGCAGAAAACTTGTTTTTGATTATTGTAAGTTGTAATTCTGAACATGGACTGTAGCATGTAGTCTGTATGCATTTTTAAGTTAATATTTTTGTTCTACCAGTGTTAATTTCGTTTTTTTTACTGACGACAACGAGACGATAACGAACTAAAACTCTTTTTGAATGACAAAAACTATGACGAAAATATATTGACTTTTTCGTCAACGAAGAAAAACGAAAATGTTAGGGAGGGACGATTTGGGAAGAGATTCATTCAATTTCAGAACGAATCTGCTTCATAGTTAGGAGGTTAGATGCGTACATGAACCAGCAGGACATAAGCTAAAATATACTTGCTGCACGTCGCATAAAACGTTCAAAAATGTCAATATGTGGGAGTAAGAGAAGAGCAGACATATAGATAAATCTGACGACGCAAGAGAGAACTCAATTCGGTCCGGTTTTCTGAGCGCAGACGCTAAAAGTTACATTGGCTAAGTGGCTTTATTTTTTATTTTTAAAGAGACAAGTATAATTAATTATAATTTGCACTTACAAATTGCATAAATATTATTACAGTGTTTCCCACAGACTTTCATTCTATTTGTGGCAGCATGTGTATGCAAATTCATTCTCTGCCAGCAGGAGGCGCTGTTGGAGTGGTAGAGATCGAGGTTTCCCCGTAATGCTGTACACAAAGCAGAGCTCCACTCACAAACGCTGCATTATCAGACATTACAAGCAAGAAGAAATGAAAATGAGTTTCCTTCAGAAATACAGTGATATAAAAACACCCGCACTGGGTTTCAATTTTGAAACGTGCAGTGCTCATGTTTATTCAACATGTGCTAGCATGTTCCTCTCAAAGTCAGCCTGTTCTGTGAGTTAGTGGAGAACAGCAGCTAGAGGCTAATTTGGCTAATTTAGTGACGTTAACGTTAGTTAAGCTGATGGAAACTCACCTGTTGTTAGCACTGAAAATTAGCACTGTGTTCTACTCATTTAACCAGATTTGTGAGCTGATAGTTGTGTGCAACCAAACTACATTTCCCATCTCTGTGGCAGTATAAAAATGAGAAAATACATAGATAAAGCAAAGTGAAAATAAATATTAATTTGGTCAATGCTTTTTTTTCCACAAACAATGTATTTAGATATTTTTAACAGCAAAATGATGAGACAACAATATTCAATTTATTGTTTTCTGTAATTATTATTATTATTAATATGGATGTATATTAAAGCAAACTTTATCTGCATACTGTACATACAACTCACGTAAAGCAATATAAACTATATAGAAAATCTCAGCTGCTTGTTTTCGCTTTTAAATTTTGTTGCAAAATTTAACTAGTATTGCCTATTGATATATAAGTATGTCTAACTTTATCCACATAAACACAGTATATTCTCTTATGGTGATGTACAGTATTTACTATATAGTGTAT